TGCGAACACCAACATGCTCCGCTGACGTAACTGGGGAAATAAGATTTGCATTTTCGCCAAGTAAAATTATCAGTTACCGATTGCCAACGACTATAAAAGCGAGACGTAAGACACGAATAATCGTGTCTCCTCTTCCCAATATTTCCATTTTTGTACGCAACCTGAACACGAATTAGGGAGAAATTACTCTATTCGCAATGATACCGTCAACTTACTAAACTTCTTAGACACATCTTGTTCTGTATTGTTTAGTAATTAAATTTTGATAGATCGCAGTTGGAGAGTTGGACTTTCGATGGAACATTGTTTCACAATTTTCGTTCAAAAATTATCCGTATGTAGAATTGAAAGTTAATTTTTACGCTAATCTATTATATCTTCTCAATTTTATTAGAACCTACGAAACATGAGAGTGTTAAGGACGTAATTAAGGTTGTACGACTTATCTTTTCAATTCTATTTTGATGTAATAAAATACTTTCTAAAAGACGTCGTCGACGTGGTAGTGAAGGTATCAACGTTAATCCTATCGTGTCGGTCAATTTGGCCGATCTCGCATTTTTTATTTTGAACTTGTTGAAATTATAAGAATGCTTTCATAGCAAATGATTGGACAGATTTTTCAATTCGAGTATACATTACAATAACAGCTGACGAAAGCTCTGTGTAAATTCCATGTCATCGTTCTTATAATATGGCACGCGTTGATCATTTTTAGTGCTCCGTAGGTGTAACCCTTTGCACTCGAAGCTATTTTAACTTTAAATATAAAATCATGTGTCTAACGTATAGTATTTTTATTTTATATGACAAAATGCATTCTGTACATATGAAATCGACTCTTGGGACTCGCATAACAGTTACACTCGTAACAATTTTTTAGATTCAAACTTTGTTAATATAAAGTTTATCTTAAAAACGAGATATAACAAATTTTAGTGGTGCCTCTGAGTCACCACTCGAGTGCAAAGAGTTAATATTAACACTAGATTTACGGAGCACAAAGAACTGCTGTTTTATATTAGTTTATAAAAGTAACAGTAAGACATTTGTTATGATTTTTAACAAGTGTTATTGCAACATTTGTATGTAGTATAAAAATAAGTAACATATAAATTGAATAAATAACTCATAAATGTATCTTTACGACATGAATAACGTAATCTAATATGAATAAATTGAAAAATTAGTGACCCGTCATTTTCACGGGTTCCGTAAGTTCTAGTGTTAAACAGAAGAATGCAACCGAATTATCACGGTGCATGTTCGTATCATCATGCATTTCCCATGGGCTCGATTAACTCGCAGGACACGGATTTCCACCGGAAGTGTGTCAAGACACGAGACAAATTTAGTGTGAAGCTGTTTAACGATAATTTCGCGCGACGGCGAGCCGGCGCGGCGTGGCGCGGCGCGGCGCGACGCGGCACTCCGATTCAGAATTATTCGGCTTTCAGAGCTTGGTACGAACTGGGGCATTCCGGCGGCGCATGATTGAAACTGCAGCTTTTCACATCTCTCGCCGAAAAAGAATCTTACGCGGAGGTTATTTGCGAGAGTAGATAATTTTTGTTTTTATTTTGCTCCGCCGTCAACAGAAACAAATTTCCCGGCAGGGCGCATCTAATCTCGAGCCGAGGTTCCTTCATTCGCTCTGGTCGACGGGAAGCTTTTCTAGCAACGGTGCAAAGTGATATCAAGGATGGCAGTTTAACGACATAGTAACCCCCACGTGTACAAACCAGGGACGTACTTCATTTCTAAGGGAGGGGCGCTCTCGGAGGGTCGCTAGTCCCGGAAAGCTTGGATTAATTTAGAGGCCCGGCGTAACTCGTAAAATAGTGCGTGACTGCCAGTTTTTCGGCGAAAACCAGGTACACGCGGAGCTTTCGACTAGAGTTTCATCGTTGCATAGGCGAAATCCTTGTGTACGTGGAACCGTAAAGAAGCTGGCTACGGTGACTTATTCTGTACCATGGAGCACCCACGTGCCTCTACTATGGCAACGGACACCGTTGTAAAATACGACTATACGTAACTGAGAAATTATACAACCTCGAGATTCTTTGTCTTTGAACGTCTCCCGCTGCGAGTAGTGACACTTTCATGTGGGTAACACAATTTTTTCGTTATACTGGACACAACACGTTGAGTGCTGAAAATCGACCTCAGAAGCATTTACTTGATATATTATTTCATATATTGTATTTTGTATTTTATTATATATATATAATAATAATATAATATATTATATTATATATTGTATATTTTTTCTATATAATTATTATATATAATTAATCCAATAAATTAATATATAATAATTATAATTATTACATATTTTTATATACATATTGTATTTCATAATTAATTCCATGGCTGTGATCCCTTTTGAAATAACATTGAAATATTATTTTATTCCGTAATTATTTCAAATCATGATTTAAGATAATTGTAAAATTCTTCTTGGAAATTATGCGATCTACATTCTAACGAAATGTCCTCATTGGCCGATTTTCTTTAGCGACAATATTAGATGGAACCAGGCAATAATCTCTTAAGGATAAAGTCCTTGAAGAAAGAGTTCTGTTGAAAGCAAATTGCTGTAAATATTTCATGCAATCGAATCGTTTTGTTCCATATTATTTTCAGGATTATTTCGTTTGACAGATTTAAAATTGAAAAATAACGAAATAAATCACTATTTGAAATTGCTGGAAAAAGAACGTTTTCTTTTTACATTAAAAAAAATAATTCAGCGTACACTTCGTACGAACGGCGGGTAGCTAAAAAGGAAGAAGAGCTGATTTCACAGTTTCGGAAAGGTAATAGAATTTTTTGGTACGACCTTCACACACCTGTTTCTCGCGTATCTCCGTGATTCTTCATTCATAGAATTCATTTTCCATTTGTATGGTGAAAGAGGAAAGTATTCAAATGAATTTCGGTGGCCTCCAAATTCTCGAAGTACTCCATTCACTGGGTTCCGGAGTGGCCGAGATATGACTATTTGATGACGCAAGGATCGATAAATCACTCATCTTTATTGACTGACTACGAGCGTAGATCACCGATGGAAATTTGTCGGACGATGTTCTAATACGAAATAATTCATGGTCGTCCATTGATCGTTCCATGAATTCATCCTTAGAAACATTCTCTTCAATGAACCTCGTAAATCATTTTTCGCAATTGTGATCACGCGATCATGAATTTTTAAGCTGCAACAATAAGAACGATCGTATTAAATTTTTTCAAATAATTGTACACGAGATACTCGACGCTTTACAAGACCGAAATTATGACAACACAACTATCCTGTGTGACCGTATTTTCTGTATTTATGGAACAATGATTACAGTAATGTCTCTCTAATTGACGCTCAGATTGTCCACAAAAGTGGATAATTTTGGAAGAGGAGATACGATTATTCGAGCCTTGCGGTTCGTTTTTATAGTTACGAATTGTCAACAACTATAAAAGTGAGCTGCAAGGCTCGAATAATCGTATCTCCTCTTCCCAAATTGTCCATTTTTAGGTATAATCTGAGCGTCAATTAGAGAGACATTACTGTACATCGAATGCGAAACAATAAAAATTCACTGTTCATGTTTCTTCTTTGTTTCAATCTGAACCGGAAAGGAACGACAACAATACAGCAGAAATACAGACGGAAAATCTAATACGAAGCAACATGTAGGGAAACGTAGAAAAATTTATTGACTTCTTTTTACAGTGTACAAGATTCGGTGATAAATATGAAACTCTACTTTACTCTACTTTACTCTACTTTACTCTACTCTCACAACTCTTCCACGAGAATTGCCAACCTGACGTACCGCACAATAATCCATACAATACTTCAACATCCTTCTACCTTTCAAGATCACATTTCGGTATCATCTAAAAGCAATTCTAGGATAAGTTTGATGACGTCAGTTTGCAGCATGTTCTAGACGAAAGATGCGAGGACTTTGATACACCTTGGACCCGCTGTTTCGAGATTCTTCTATTAGATTGCGTTTTAGACGAGGAGTTGCTTCGACGGAACGGGATACGAGTATCCATCGTCTTGTCCCAGGGAAGCTCCTCCAGAGGAGAGGTCGATGGCGCCGACTGCGGATTGCTCGGCGACTCCCAAAGATCCGGAATGTACACTCGAATGGCCCAGAGAAAGTCCAAGATTGAGGCCAGTTTGGGGGACAACGGGTGCGTGGTCGACGACGGCGGATAGGCTGGCTACGCTAGGTACGCCATAGGTACTGCTGGGTACGCTGTAAGATGCGCTGGGTGCGCTGTAAGATGCGCTGGGTACGTTGTAAGATGCGCTGGGTGCGCTGTAAGATGCGCTGGGTACGCTGTAAGATGCGCTGGGTACGCTGTAGCTGGCGCTAGGCACACCATAAGACGTGCTGGGCAGACTATAAGAAGCGCTGGGTACGCTCAGGTGTCCCAAAGACAAGCCACTGCTGTAGCCGGAGCTGACGGACACCGGGTGCGAGACCGGGGCACTGTAAACTGGAGTTGGGGCACTGTAAACTGGAGCTGGGGCACTGTAAACTGGAGCTGGGGCCACATAGGCTGGAGCCGGAGCGACGTAGGACGTCGTCACGGGCTTCACCACGGAGACTTGCGAGTGGACAGCAGGGACACCGTAAGTCGCAGCTGGGACAGCGTAGGATGCTTCCTTATAGGTGGAGACAGGAGAGTTGAAGGACGGGACACCGTAGGTCGAAGCTGGAGCAACGAACGATGTGCTCAATGTTTGAGGCTTGTACACGGGAGCTTCGTAAGATGTAGAGACAGGTGGAAGGTATTGTGCGGACCCATGACCGTTGCCTTCGAGGGCAGCAAGTCCTCGTTTGTGGAGGTTCTTTACGGCCGCGTTCGCGCTAGCGGCGACGACCAGCAAAAGTAAAGAAGCCTGGAAGAGAACAAACGATGTTAATGAAGGCTGACAAACAACTATTATCGACTGGCAGAGAGAGATAGAGAGATCCAGTTGAGAATTTTCAAGTAATTATTTTATGAAAACTAATTGTAAGTTAGAGTGTCCAAAGCTTTATGGGTATGTTCAGATGCAAGTTGCAATTGCTGCAATGAATTTAACAATGAATTTAACAAGTAGATTCACACAAATGTGGAGAAATTTTTAATTAAACTAAAATTAAATTAGACGAAGTGTTCTCTCATCGTTGACCAGAGAAGTGAATCTACATTGCACATTGCAACTGCAAACGAAGTTCTGCAGTTCTCGGGCTGCGATACTCACTGCGAAGGTCCTCATGTTGTACTTGATGTGAGAAGTAGAATCGAAATGTGACTTAAACCGAAGATTCTGCGGTTTTTATACCGAGACGGCCACCATATTCCTTTCACTCGAAAGACACGAAGTTCCCCAAACTTTTCTACTGACGTAATAATGGACCACGCCGCGGGGACTCCGAAATGATGCTGTGCTATTCGCCGCACGAGATAATGATGATAATATCTTGCTACTTACAGCCAGAGCGACACAGGATCATTACTTTCACGGTGTCCTGTTATTAATTGAAGTCCCATGACTTGATGACAAAGTTTTCTGTGACACAAAAATGATCGACCCTACTTGCAGTAAACAGAAGTTACACAAAAATTGATTTCTTCTCTTAGTAAGAGTTGCAAATAATGTATCGTAAATAATGTATTGTAAATGCTTTTTCGAAAAATAAATTCTCATATGTCGTGTAAAGGACATAAATGCTATGCACTTTTGTGAGCATTTATTTAAAAAACGATAACTAATGATAGCTAAACTTTATTTAATTTTTTCTGTTGCCAAAAATATATCTTTCTATAATCTTCGATATGACTGTAGACTATAGCGTACAGATCATTATATATTATTTATGGCAAAAATGAGTAGGTGTAATTTAAAACAGTGGAAGGATTAATAGAATCTGAGAATGTTAATGTGCTTCGCTTATATGGCTGGCAATTGATGGAGGCAATTTTTATTTTGCATAAAGGTCCGCAGTTTAATTATAATTACAGTAAATTCTCGCTAAGTTTCCTTCAGCTTGTAAACAAAAATGGACAATTTGGTAAGAGGAGGTACGATTATTCGAGCCTTGCACCTCGTTTTTATAATTGTTGCAATCGGCAACTATAAAAATAAGCCGCGGAGCTCGAATAATCGTATCTCCTCTTTCTAAATTGTCCACAAGCTGAAGGAAAATTAGAAAGAATTTACTATACATAGAACGTAGAATAGATATTTTCTCAATTTCCTGTAGAAAACTTTAAAAAAAACTATCGCTTTAATAGATCCATATTTTCATATCACAGAGATCAAATTTTTGTGTCGTCGTGAACGAATGCTGTGGAACGCAAGTTTTTGCAACGGCCTGTACCCTGCTTTGTTCTTCGGGGCAGCGGAAAGAATAATCGATGGCTTGTAAACTTGTTGATATTTCTATTGTCCGTACGATACGGTTCGACGCGATTACGTTAGTGCGTTCTAAGACGAATATGATTCCCAACGGGTACGGATATTCGTTTTAGCAAGTTATGCAAATCGACCACCGACAGAAAGTTCCGTACGCTCCACGTAACACGTACAATCAGGTATTCATGCCGCAGTGTCTCTGTGTGCGTGGTTTTGTTATATAAATGCAAAAGACATAAAAACGTAAGATTTCGCTCTCACCTTCTTCGTCTTCGGAATTTATGATGGAGGAAAAAGCGGTGCGGGCTACAAAATATTTCGGGTGTGTATAGGTTCCTCGGGTCCTCGCTTCCTCGCACACGTGCCGCTTCACGGTGAGAGGCACTTAGGTGTTCCTCAATGTCAGAAACACCACTTTGATTCACTTTTCGCCTATGGTATTTCGTAATTGCCCAATTATTCGTCGAGCACTGTCGAATCGCGGCCGGAACAATTCTAAATGCCGTTTCAAACGCGGCGCGTGTAATGTTAACGCGACTGTGATATTTTTAAATGTAACGAGCGAATCTGCTTGCTCTAATTTTCAACCGTATCTGGAGCACTTTATACTTAACACTTTTAGCGTTGAACAACGATATATCGTTGTTGGCTACACTCGAGAATTATTTTATTACACTTTTTAATAAATAACAATTTTATTTTCCATTATTCTTCTTTTCCGAATTTCCTAGTTATCAGGTTTTACAAAAATGTTATAATCTCTTTTCGGAACTTCAGCAAACTATAATCAAACACATATATTTCACT